TTTTAATTTGTGTATTTATTTTTTAATAATTTAATGTTATTTTGGATCGGGACCTTTCTGTAGATCACCTACGGGTGAGAAAGCTTCCCGTTAAAATATTATTAATTACCCCAAAGGTTGTCATATAAATAGCATAAGGTACCACAATACTCAGGCTACCTCACCTCATCTGGGTAATCAGCTCAGTCAAGTTGAAACTAAGGTGGATGATCCAAGAGCACGTATTTCCTAGAAGTGCTGGCTTCCTTACTGATCAGAATCACGTCTGGAAGCTTTCCATACAGAGGATCTTGAAATCACCCTAAGGAGAGATAAAATGTCAAAGCGGAATGAAAGATTATCGGTAGGATTTTAGCGTCCGAGACTGATTTGGGGGCTTATTTCCAGGAAGAGCTAATTATTGAAATTTTATTTCCATTTATTTTTCCTTGAAAATATAATTTTATGCTTAACCTGCAATCAGAATACTCTCATATTCTCCGACAGTAAATTTGAGGGCGGAAAAATTCACCAGTACGCGGTTTTCCTAGTTTTCTCATTCCTTCGCGAACTCGCGCGGGTCGCGAGATCCGTAAACCTTCCCAGCGTTCTTTGCAAGGACGGTTCCGTCATATTGTGAAAAAGCCGCCAAAGTAGAAGCTCCGGTAAGATACTTCTTCCCTTATTCTTCTTAAGTAAGAATCAGTTATCATTGTGTATATTTTTACACTCAGGTCAAGTATGTTGCTGATTGTTTTATAAAGAGCTGGGAAGAAGTCTGTATTGGCGCGAAGTTCAACTCAGTTGGAGGGAGGTGAGTGCTGAAACAGTCTGCAAACTGAAGCAGGGTGCGGCGGTAGCTCGTAACAGGCAAACCGAGGCACTTGCCTCAGTCATTTTTTCCTTTTTGTTTTTTTATATTCATCATAAACACCTTAAATACCTAGAATTTAACCATGCACAGTGCCTCAGTCGTATTTTTTTCGTGGACATTGCTTCAGTCATAATTTTGGCCACGGCCTTGAAAAGGAGTAGTTACGTTAGATAACAAAAATATGATTATTTAGGGAGTTGATGAAGTAAAATGTGTTTCATCCCCCTGTTGAGTGGGATCCAATATAATTAAGCATTTTAGCATCAGTTTGTCATGTATATAGACCCGGAGTGCCCGTGATGAAAATCGATCATCGGAAGGCAATCGATATAATCAATATAATCGATAATAATTAATCGATTATTATCGATTGCCTCAATTAATCGATGAAAATCGATACTCACAATCCTAGTCCTTGTAATTGCTGTGGATTATATCGATTGTCATCGCTTGTCATCGATCTTAATCGGTAACTCTTGAAAGAGGATACCTTCAATTTTCAGACTTGCTCCCGGGACTTGCTGCATATACAGTGTGTGTGTCCGGTCGAATGTGGATGTGATATTGATAGAGTGTGTTGTGAAAGGGTACTATGAGTTGTTAAGACGTTAAACAGTTCATTAACCTTGTGATGCTACTGTTTTACAGAGTTAAAAAATATAAATGACACGGTCAAGAAAGCATTTTAATTAAAGGAAAATGGGCTCCAACAATTAAACGCTCCCTCTGAACAAGTCAAAATTCGCCAAAAAACAACACCCGGCAAGAGTAATCACACTAATGGCCGCTGCACAAAAACACTCAACCTTTTGCCAGTGGAACCCAGTCTACATGTACACGCATTAAGAAACCACGTGACAAATGCTCTGCTCTCATGGACAAGTAAATAAATTTAACAAATTGACGTCAGTTTTTCATGCATTTGCCCTGTTGTTCATCATGAATTTTGTCATAACATAACATATCCACAGCTACTTTGACAATGTTATGATGAAATTCATTGTCAATAACAGGACAGACCCATGAAAAACTGACGTCAATTTGTTTTTTTACGATTAACAACTTGTCAAATTGTCTGCTCCCACTCGTTGATGCATCGCATAAATTGTAAATATTATGTGTCTGTCCGCTTATTGACAATGAAAATTAGCCAATGAGCATGCGAGAATTTTCGAAGTTATTGTAAAAAAATAAATATCGCTGACGTTGGCAAAGTGTGGGAAATCCCACACAAAAACGAGGATTGCCAAACAAGGATGTGCAGTGTTGTTTCTACGACCACATCACTCACAAATTGGAGCTAGTTTACATAGTCACATAATTTGGAGTTACAACCCTGGGGCAGCAAATTTCATAGAAGTGCTAATTATTTACCACTGATGACTGCAAAAAAAAAGTGTCTGGTATTGTTTTTTCAAAACCTCAGAAAAATCACTCTCATTGAAATCGTGACCTTATCATTCTCCAGTTGGAGCTAGTTTACATGGATTGAGGAATTTCGAGATTGAACTCATGAGAGGGCAAAATTTAGCATTGAAAGTTTTGTTTTTCAACTGTCACAAACTACAAGATGATTACCAGTGCCCACCTTGCAGTTAGTTATTTAGCAAATTATCTCTGTTGTCACCAGCTCAGGGCTATCGGACACAACTTTCTTTGCACAGAACTAATTGATTAACTTTAAGTCTGCCATGCTAGCAAGAAATCATATTTTGTAATCTTTCTTTCCTTCTTTTTAACAGGTGGAGACACATTAGGACAAGACAAGAACAGGATTTACATTAGTTAGCCTATTCTAGATTTATGATTTTATTGCAATCGAAGACCCAGGTAAACACTTGTGTTCTTGTGCATTGATCAAATCCAAACTAAACCTGGCTGATTCCCATTCTGGACGTTGGACCACCCCTGGGATTACTCCTGATGGTTAACCTCCTCCTCCCCCTAGATATTGGGATTAAAATCACTAAATTCTAGGACAAGAAATAATTAAAATTGACCATTATTCAAGTTGAATGGGAAAAGAAAAATTGAATGTGGAAAAGATTCCCTTTCTTGACTGCGTATTAAGCCTCAGGAGCAATGTATTGCAATGACGGTTCATATAAGACCAAATCATATGCTGACTGGCAATAGGACTAACCACCCTACACCCATGGCTTACATTCAGAGGGGCTTATTGTTAAAAGGTTTTATTTTACCTAAAAAAGTTGAGAGGATGGGCTTATTAATTTTTACAGTAACCTACAACATGGGCTCTTTTAAGGCATTTTTATTGCACAAATCTAGGTACAGCCCTACAATTTATTATACATACCCAACAAATCTATTACTGCATTATGACATTGACTGACAAATAGGACAGGGATACAGAAATGTAAGTCTTGCATCATACTGCACAAGATCATTACAAATGTTTCAGCTGCTGGGCAAGAGAGACTGGCAGAATTATGAAGATCACACTGCCAAAATGCAAATGAATGTGATGTTAACTATGATATTACTGAACACCATCATGTACATTCACAAATTTGACTGGGTTATATTCACAAACTACTTTCAATGACCGACTGTAGAAAGCTGGTACACTAACTTAGACCACAACTGACAATAACTGATCAAGAATATAGACTATATACATGCATGTCTTTGAAACAGCTAACAACATCACAGTGTTACTGTAAACATTTCAGTCAGCTACAACTTTCCTGTTCAGGACAACCCTTGATCAGCAGATCACACTGATACTTCTACCATTTACCTTATGTTACATGTTACAGTACATCAGTTTCAAGTCTCATGAAAAATATTTTCTAGTCAGTGTAAGGGAAAAGTCAGAGAGATTAATTTTCTCTATGCCTAGCATACTCTCAGAGTTTTCTTTCTGGCACCTCTTTGGACAACTTGCAACAGGACAGAGTTACGGGTTTAACTAACAGTGAATTTTCTGGGTTTAGCCAGGTTAAGAAAGTTTTGAATTGATCTTTGTATTGTATAATGTAAACCAAGTTCTGCTTTAGGTTTTGCAAGACCACAGACATCCTTGCTTACAGTCACAATATAATTGGTCCGTCAAGCAAATTGCTTTTTAACACATTTTGGCAGTGGATAACTCCCTTATTTTTGATAGCAATTTTGTTGCACTTGATGTTATTACTGTATTTCTTCTGTTTAACCTTAAAAAGGGGAGCTTTTTAAATGGAAGTCTAATAAGAGGGGGTAAGGGGTCTTTATAGGCCCCTGATTGTTCTCAACTATCAAAAATAGGAACTTATTTAGATGAGAAAGAAAAGTTTTTTTAGGGGGATGGGGTTGCTAAAACGAGATTTCATATAAATTTGGTTGTACCTAAAAGAAAGGGGTTCAATTGAAGATTTGACTGATATTCACTGTTAACACACAAGGGAAATTAAGAAAATTGGATTTTTTAGGATGGACCGGGCTCATGCAAGTTTTATTCGTGAACAGGGTTCAGAGTAACAAGGGCAAATGAATGGGTAGGGCAGTGGGGACTCATATCAATAGAGGTCAAATTGAGGAAATACAGTAATTCTGAATTTTCAAAACACTTTTGAAAGAAAATGATATATCATTTCTAATCATTTTTAT